AATACGTGCCAGTGGTTACAGTTGCCAGGTCTTCCTAAATACTAAGGCAATAGAGGTGGTTTGCCTAATAGTAATGGACATTACAGTTACAACGTCCGTTCTTTTTTGAGTCTCAAGAGCAGAAATGCGTGCTTTGAATGCACTAAATGAGAATTACCATAAATACAAGGATACACCTTAAATTGTACGTTGAAAAGTACCAAAAATTAGGTCGGCCCAGACAGAGCGGCGACAGGGAGCTGACCCCTGTGACCCCGACGTGATAAGGCGCCCCGCGGGGAACCCCCCGCGGCAACTAAAATTCCACTGCCAGTGCGCCGTGAAGAACTCACTTGATCAAATGTTCCATGTAAGAACTCACTTGATCAAATGTTCCATGTAAGAACTCACTTGATCAAATGTTCCATGTAAGAACTCACTTGATCAAATGTTCCATGAATCAAATGTTCCATGTAAGAACTCACTTGATCAAATGTTCCATGAATCAAATGTTCCATGTAAGAACTCACTTGATCAAATGTTCCATGAATCAAATGTTCCATGCAAGAACTCACTTGACCAAATATTCCATGTAAGAACTTACTTATCAAATGTTCCATGTAAGAACTTACTTGATCAAATGTTCCATGAGGTTGACGATGGTGAAGTAGTTGGTGTCGGGCAGACCATGCAACAGCGCCAACATGCATTGAGCCTTGGCTTCCTCGTCTGACAGACCTGGGACATACAGACAAATTACACGTCACAACGCATCACAACACATTACAACACGTCACATACAAATTACACGTCACAATATGTCAAAACACATGACAAAACGTGACAACATGTGACAACAGACAAAGTTACACTTCACAACACATCACGTGACAAAGTTACACATCACAACAGACAAAGTTACACATCACAACAGACAAACTTACACATCACAACAGACAAACTTACACATCACAACAGACAAACTTACACATCACAACAGACAAAGTTACACATCACAACAGACAAAGTTACACATCACAACAGACAAAGTTACACATCACAACAGACAAAGTTACACATCACAACAGACAAAGTTACACATCACAACAGACAAAGTTACACATCACAAACTTACACATCACAACAGACATAGTTACACGTGTAAAACTCTTGTAGATGGCTGAAGGAAACATTGACAACCACCAAACAAAGCAATCGTCTTACGTAAAGTGTCGATAAAACTCTGATAGCTTTCCTCGGTGAACAACGGCGACGGCAGTTCCCGGAAGTACAGTTTGAGCACGCCAGTCACCGCATGGATGTCTACGTCTGTCACTGCCGCCGCACCGACCTTGATGTCTGCACAAGGACAAAATACAACAGTCAGGTACACGCTTCATACACACTGCACAAGGACAAAACACAACAGTCAGGTACACACTGCACAAGGACAAAACACAACAGTCAGGTACACGCTGCACAAGGACAAAACACAACAGTCAGGTACACGCTGCACAAGGACAAAACACAACAGTCAGGTACACGCTGCACAAGGACAAAACACAACAGTCAGGTACACGCTGCACAAGGACAAAACACAACAGTCAGGTACACACTGCACAAGGACAAAACACAACAGTCAGGTACACGCTTCGTACACGCTGCACAAGGACAAAACACAACAGTCAGGTACACGCTTCGTACACACTGCACAAGGACAAAACACAACAGTCAGGTACACACTTCGTACACACTGCACAAGGACAAAACACAACAGTCAGGTACACACTGCACAAGGACAAAACACAACAGTCAGGTACACACTGCACAAGGACAAAACACAACAGTCAGGTACACGTTGTACAAGGACAAAACACAACAGTCAGGTACACGCTGCACATGAAAAAACACAACAGTCAGGTACACGCTGCACAAGGACAAAACACAACAGTCAGGTACACGCTGCACAAGGACAAAACACAACAGTCAGGAACACGCTGTACAAGGACAAAACACAACAGTCAGGTACACGCTTCGTACACACTGCACAAGGACAAAACACAACAGTCAGGTACACACTTCGTACACACTGCACAAGGACAAAACACAACAGTCAGGTACACACTGCACAAGGACAAAACACAACAGTCAGGTACACACTGCACAAGGACAAAACACAACAGTCAGGTACACGCTTCGTACACACTGCACAAGGACAAAATACAACAGTCAGGTACACACTTCATACACACTGCACAAGGACAAAACACAACAGTCAGGTACACACTGCACAAGGACAAAACACAACAGTCAGGTACACGCTTCGTACACACTTCATCTCCAGCCTTTCCTCTTTTTGCTCTCTCCTCCTTCTTGCTCTCTCCTCCTTCTTGCTCTCTCCTCCTTCTTTCTCTCTCCTCCTTCTTTCTCTCTCCTCCTTCTTTCTCTCTCCTCCTTCCTTTCTCTCTCCTCCTTCCTTTCTCTCTCCTCCTTCCTTTCTCTCTCCTCCTTCTTTCTCTCTCCTCCTTCCTTTTTCTCTCCTCCTTCTTTCTCTCTCCTCCTTCCTTTCTCTCTCCTCCTTCTTTCCTCTCTCCTCCTTCTTTCCTCTCTCCTCCTTCTTTCTCTCTCCTCCTTCTTTCTCTCTTCTCCTTCTTTTCTCTCTCCTCCTTCTTTTCTCTCTTCTCCTTCTTTTCTCTCTTCTCCTTCTTTCCTCTCTCCTCCTTCTTTCTCTCTTCTCCTTCTTTCCTCTCTCCTCCTTCCTTTCTATCTCTCTGTAGTCTGTTTACCCTCAGTTCACTGTTTGCCCTAGTGACTCACACCCGCCTCATGTTATCAGGTCAGTGAAGCTGCTGTTGCTTCATGGTAAGTATAAGGACAATAAGAGGCCTAGGAATAATAATAATAATAACAATAGTAATAATAACAACAATAATAATAATAACAACAATAATAATAATAATAATACTGATGTTAATAATATTAATACATGTAATAATAATATATGACATTTATATTGAGCTCAAAACTGAATAAAGAACCCAGGCCATGAGCGTTGGACAAAAATATACGTAACAATAGGCCTACATAAACAGAACATAGTGTTCAGACTACACATCTAGACAGCAGTATCTTATTCATCTCCAGATACCAGTATCTATTTCATCTCCCGATACCAGTATCTCTTTTATCTCAGAGAAGCAGAAATGAGTTGACCTGATGTCTGAAGGAAATAAAAGAATAGATCTCTCTTTAATTACCAGGCAGCGCATTCCAGACAATGTGAGACCGGACTTACTTTTATCGAAGAGTTTCTTCAGCGACTGTAGCTCTGACGTGACCCCAGACACTCGATAGATCCCGACCTCATCCAGACCTGCAGGACACGAGGACAAAATAATCTATAACTGTAAGGACACAGGAACAAAATAATCACATTTCACAAGAGAAAGTTTCCAACATTTCTATTTCAGTCCAATGATCATATCTTCTTCATCTGTCTATCAATGATCATATCTTCTTCATCTGTCTATCAATGATCATATCTTCTTCATCTGTCTATCAATGATCATATCTTCTTCATCTGTCTGTCAATGATCATATCTTCTTCTTCTGTCTATCAATGATCATATCTTCTTCACCAGTCTGTCTAGCAGTTGAGAACGGGAGCAGTTCTTCAGACCACAGGCTTCTCAGCCCAAAGGTACAGGGGAGAAAAACGGGCTCTCCCAGACGGCAAGTTTGAGACCCTGCTCGAAATCTGACCCAACATGTTTTTGTTCGTTTGTTTTTGTTTGTTTGTTTTTGTTTGTTTTTGTTTGTTTTTGTTTGTTTGTTTTTGTTCGTTTGTTTTTGTTTGTTTGTTTTTGTTTGTTTTTGATTGGGTACAGAGAAGCACATGGACACAACAACGGTCATTTCGTGTTGGGGAAAGTAAGACAGACAGACAGAAATACCAGAGGGAAAGTAAAGAAGTAGGACCTACCAGTGACACCCTCCAACCACCAGCCCAAACGCTTTGACTCATTCACTACGTATACGAATTATTTTGGGCCCGCGGACGAATTTTTTTCGGGAGGTCGAAATGAGACGATGACTAGTGCGCAGTTCACAGGTCTTTGGGGCCACAGATTCAAATAAATATCAACATATAATACACCGACATTTTTATGTTTATTTGTCGAATACATCTGTAATACACATGTTTATTTGTGTATACTTCAACTTTGATTCCTGAAAGAGGCGATTATGTAAAACAATTTTGCTTGGATGCAGATAAAATTTGAAAATAAAAAATTAGTCATCTTTGGTGAAACTCAAAAAATATATGTTTGCACCTAGTCAAATAAAACATCAAAATAACCATAAATGAACATTATCATCATCCTCATCCAGTGCCAGATCTGCGACAGACATCCGCGATCAAGATTTTCTATTCATTCCTTTGCTCGGATGCTCTCAGAAAAGCTATGTTTCCCTGATCTTTCCCTGTT